CTGAAGGCATTGTAGTTTGTAGAAAATCCTTTAAGTATATTTCCAGGATATCTGTCTTCCAGCAAAGACATCACACTTGTATTCATTTTTCCTGTGATACTGATACAGATTTCTACATACCAAAATGTGTTCATATACTGTTGCTTGTCTTATATTCCAGTGGTCTGAGTGTACTTTCATTTTAGAGCCAAAATTCAAAGTTCAGTTAGTAGATTTGGTGTGTGCAAGCACTGAGAAGGGTGCTAATCAACTTGAAGTCAGAATAAGTATAGAATTTTATACTTTACAGTCTTTGTTAATTACTGATATAACACTTTTTGGCAGAGCAGTTATTAATCTTTTATTTTGGGGATTTGTGAACAATGAAGAAGTGTGCGAATGATATCTTTCTATAAAACTAGTACAAGGGCCTAATACCTAACTTCTTTTACCAAAATAAAATGTATGGTTAATTCTGTGATTTTCTGAGCAGTGATTATTAACAAATGGTGATAAATATTTAAGTCATGTTTCTTAATAATTTATCTTTTCAAATTAAAATCCTTTGGATATTAAGTAGTAATGACAAGTGGTAAATATTTGTATATTCTGAAGTCATTACCACATCATCGTGTGATAATCTCTCAGAAAATATCAAGAATTATTTCACCTATTGAATATTCAGCCAGTGTTTCATTACAGTCCAATGTGGCTGCCTATATTAGAGTCCTCCGCTTACTTCAGCTTTATGAAAGAATGTAACAGAAAGAAAAAAGGCACAATCAATTTTTGAGCTTTTTTTGAAAATTCACACACCAACATTTGCTTTTAGTTCATAAGGTTCATATTACTTTGCATGATCTTGCTTACTTGCTGTTTATTATTGAGACCTTCTTTCAAATGGAGGGTCAGGATTACTGGACTCACCTGTTGGTAATAACACAAATCGTTGCCTACAATTGCAGTTTTACCTAGACTTGGGGGGAGTATCTGAATTCATCTTTAAATTCTGTAGTGTCATACGGAATATAGGGAACTCACTCATTTAAACTAGGTTTTGTCACAGTGCTAGCAGTTGTTTGTAAGTAGTTTTTAGGTAATGAAACCCATTTTAGGAGTCAATGTATTAACTGTTAATTAAATGTTTTTAAAAAAAAATCAGTGATGGGATTAGATTACCAGAATGTAAAGGTACAGAAGTCAAATACAGCCCTCTACCAAAATATATGCCTAATGTCTCTTTTCAAGGAGACATAGTCTTAAAATACCTTATTTTCAATTCAGTGTGTAAATCAGTATTAAAATTATGTTAATGTATTGAGCAGAATACAAACGCAAATATACGAAGCCCATGTGATTCAAGAGCTTAATATATTTATAGAGGTGCTGGTTGGATCTCATTGTAGATCTTTAACATGAGTCTCTTATTTTCCTTTAAATTTTGAGATTGTTTATATGTACTATGTAGAAAAGTTGAAGCCATTCTAAGGAAATTTTTCATTCTTTGACCTTACTTATTGCAGTACAAGGACTGAGAATTTAAATATTTTTATTACATACATTTTGTTAAATTTTTGATTTCTTTAGAAACTGACAAAATAAAAATAGGAGGACATATCTCTGGGTGTTAGAAAAATTTTGACAGGAAATCAGAGGAGAAATAGAAATTACAACAGAGTAGAAAAGACAGATTTTTTTCCTAATACAGAATCCAGATGAACCAAGATTGATTTGATTAATAGTAGTAATGATAAAATTGTGGTACATTAAGAACTCAATCTGGTAGAAACACACAGTATTAATTTCAGTATGTAAGACTGAGCATACAGGCTATACATACATTTGTGTTGGTAGAATGCTATGCTTTATACTCAGATACAGGAGATGATACGTCTTGAACTGCTTTATTTGTAAATAAGTATTTTTAAACACGCACAAATAATTACTCAAAGCTATGTAGATTCTGCAAATAAATTAGTAGGACAAAGCAATCTTTTTCCTTAAGTGCCCTTCCCAAAAGCTGTTAAACACATATGCATAGTTCCCATTAACATAACCAATGAGCTACATGAATTTTCTGGAGATGTTGTTTTGAAAGTAGACTTTGGTTGAGCCCAAATACTGCAAGTTTGCACTTAAAAGAAAATGTCTGTCTAAAACAGTGAGCACAAGGTAAGATATAGAATTGATGCCCAGCCCAGCCTGCACAACAGGGTGGCTACCATGTTGTTAGAATAATTACATTTTGGCTGAACTAACTAATTTAGGAAAAACTGCAGTACATCTAGCAAGACTGAAAACTTTCCAGGACTAGCTTGGGGTTTTTTGTATTTTTTAGTGTAATTTAAAACAATACCTCTTCTAACTGCCAACAAACTCTTTCACCCCGTTCCTGGCTTCCCTCCTAACCATGTCCTGGCTCACCTCCAGAGCTGCCAAGTTTGTGCCAGAAGCAGGAGGTAGATTTGTATGGGGCTGGAGGAAGATCTGGAGCTCTGTTAAATTTTCAAGCCCAGATGGGGCAACATGATTTGTGTGTTTATGTCAGTATGCCATACATCACAACTATCTGTGTGCTGACGTCAGCTTTGATTGGACATTAATGTGCTGAATGCTGCAAACTAGAAAATACATGATAGATACAGATCTATGGCAACAATGCCACATAAGCAAATGTCTATTTGGTGTGGCGATTCACTGTGCAAAATATTTCCCAAGATACACTGCATTAAGCCAGGAGAATATTTTGACACACTTTAAAAACAAAACCAAAATCAGCCTGGACAAACAGACTGCAATTTAAGAAAGCAAGCCTGTTCAGAAGAAGAGCTGAAACCAACATATTGAAGTATGTATCATTAGACAAATACTGAATTGCTGTCCCTCACTTTAATCTTTCCAGAATTAAGACCATATAGGAAAGATGCTATTCTTATGATTTGCAGGACTGTTAATGAGGAGTATACCTTGCTGATAGTTGAGCATCTTTCTATCCACAGTTTTTGTAAGCCATTGTTATCAAAACCAGCAAGCAAAAGCATTAACGGATAGCAAATGTTTTTTCAAATGATAAAATATTTTTTCTGTACCAAGAGTTTAGGTTGGCTTCCAGAAATCATCATTTATTTATGTAACAGTTTTTTATTTCTTGCTTATACTAACAACATCCAGCAGCCTGCTGAAGAACTGGTAAAATACAGTAATTTCTGATATGTGGATTTATAGAGGTCAGTGGCTACTTCAGATTTGTATTTGTACCATCTTTATGTGATTGCCTCTGTAGAATAATAGGACCAAAAGTTTCCATTAAAATGTGGTATACTGTCTCTCTCATCCTAGAAGAGGAAATAATTTGCAAGTCAGCTTTAATATTTCACAGGTGGATATAATAGCAAAGTTTAGGGATTGATGTGGAGGCAGTGTTCTTTTACCTCAGATCACTTATGTTATTCCTCAGAAAGGAAATTCTGTAGTATAGCACATCATTAGACTTTGTAGGTAAAATTGAAGTTCTGTGATTCCATGGGGATAGATCATTTTGGCCTGTGCACAAGTAGCGGCTTTGAAAAGACACCAGTCCCCAGGATTTAGTGCCATCTGGCCTGTAAGGTGTGGAAGGGAGGGGGTGTAAAGGTACCATGGGATCAGTGGATTTAGGCCTTGTAACCTGAGCAGATTGGGCTGTGCAGGACAGGCCACAAATTACTTTGTGTAGTGGTCAAAAAACAGAATGTAGATTATTCTTTGATGAGAGTAGGAAATGTTCACCTTTCACATCTGCTTTGTAGGCTTCTCTATGTCTATGAAATACGCTGTTATTGAAATGTGGGTTCCTGAAAGCAATTGGTGTTCTGATCACCATTTTAATAAACCTATATGTCAGTACAATGCATAGACTTTTATAATGTATCTAGGGAGGTTTCCTTTCTCTCTGCTCCTAATTACTTTATCAATTGTTATTATCAGATAGTTTCCCAGTGTTTAAATTGACCATTCATAATAAGCCTCGGTCATATAGTTTATGAAAGAAGTGCAGAATGTACAAAATACTTTAAAATTAATAAAAAATACAAAACTATAACTTGGAGCTACAGAGCTAATTCTTCATACTTGGAATGGGTATTTTGAGGTGATTAGTCTTGATAGCCCTGAAGGTATGATGGGGATAGCATCTACAGCTGTCAAGAACAAGAGTATACCAGCTGTCCAGGTGGCTTTAAGATAACTAATTCTTATCTTAAAGAAATAATTTGCTTTTTAGCACAGATTTGTCCCTTTTTTTTTTCTTATTAAATACTGACATCATCAAAGCATTTAAGAACAGGTTATCCTGAGTTACCTGTGGAGATCTCTGTTGTGACCTTTGAATGTTGCTTTCTGCTATATAAAATTAAGTAAAGAAAACTGTGCGGAAAACAGCTTATTTAAAGCACATGACGGTACATTGTTTCACAAGACATAAGGCATAACTTGCAAATCACAAATATATTGAGAAATGGTAATGCAACTTGAAGCTTTAGATTCATATATTGTGTAGAGAGGAAGTTTTAGAAAGAGAAATACTGTAGAAAATGCTTTGGTTTTCCATGTTGTTTGACTGATGACCAAAATGAATAATAATAAGGTTGTGCTTGCTCAAAATATTAGAGGTGATATGCCTAAGTATATCAAAAAACAAGGTTTTCAGAACACAAACAAAAGCTGGACATCTCACTCATAGTGGAAGTCAATGAGAGGTACTTAGCTGCACGTAGCTTGTAAATCTCTCTGATGTGAGCAAATGCTTATGAAGATTTAGGAAAATATTAATTTAGTGCTGAGTTAGCCCTTTTGTGTTTTCTTTAAACAGAAATTTAAATTCTTTCTTTTTTTGAAGAAAAAAGCCCTCTAATGTAATTTCTAAGTATTGATGACCTATTTTTTCCCCACAGTTTGTCATTGGGAAGACCAAGGCTTACTCTATGAACATTAATTACCTTTTTCATCACATAGGATGTGTATTTTGTTTCCATGTCTTACAGAATAAAGCAATTATGGAACGTGTAACAAACTTGTCAGATATGGTAGTTGGTCTTGAATCATTTATTGGCTCTGAGAGAGAAACCAATCCATTATACAAGGATTACCACGGTAAGTTCCATCTTTAGCAATGCAAAAAGTCTGCCCTGAGTGTTTCTAGGGCACTTAATGGCTTACCCTCCAGTTGGGTATCTGCTATAAAGTAGCATTTGATTTCATTTTAGAATATACTTCTTAAATGTTTCTCCTTGCTAACCAGTCTTGAGTTAAGAAAATTTTCAGTAAAGTGCATTAAGGCTGCAAAGGAAACATGGCAACTCCTTGCATGTTGTCAAGCCGTATTACTGAGGCATGGCTCAATCAGATGTACATCTCAACAGGCAGGCTTTGGGGAATTCACATGCAGAGGAGGCTTGGCAATCATCTGACCAGCGAGCTGAACTTGTCATGAAATCAATACTTTTGATCTGCCAAGTTTTAAATAGAGAACATGGAAAAACATATATTATATTAAGGTGAATAAACTGCTAAATAATGTGCTATATAAACTTTATCTAAAAATAATGTTCTGATTTTCAGCTTTAACTTACGGCACTTATGCATTTAAAGAAACGAATGTGGATATGTGTTGCATGTAAAATATGAAACTAATTTTGGTAAAAAGTCATGTAACCTTTCAAGTGATTTATCTTCAAAATGTGTAATGGTGTTTAATCTTGCATTTTGTTTCCCAAAGATTTTGTTAGCTGTTGCAGCAGAACTATTTAAATTTTAAAAGATGAGATTAGAAGTTATGCATAGCCAAATCAGTGAATAAAAAACAGTTTTAGCTAATCCAGAGTGGTGCTCTGAGTGTGCATAAATTACAGCTGTTATTATTGTGATACTACTGTAATTCCATGGAAACCTTTAGTTGAAAGTAAACTGCTTATCTGAAATCTGCTGTAAACATGTGAGAATGTGGCAGTGTTTTCCATAGCAGAATATATAGAAAAAGAAGCAAAGATGGTTTTGAAACACCACTGTGTGTATGCAGACTGTAATAAACCAGAGAAAAATCTTTTTGACTATGAAAATAGTGCACATTTCATTATCTGAAAAAAGGTGAATGAAAAAGAAACCATGAACAAAAGCTAGAATAATTTGCCTAATTATTTTTCCAACTGTATAATCGTCATGTGGCATTTGTTTATGCTAACATAATTCTGTCAATTTGATACTCCTTTTCCCAGTACTGAAGAGATCCTTTAAGACAATCTGTGTTTTAGCAGTTATTTCCTGGTTTCCTGGAAAAATGTATGCTAAATCATTTTTGGTACTACTTAATAAAAATTATATGCCAATATACATAACCTTTGAGCTTTAGGCAACCTTAATTTAACATTCTAAAAATAGGTATTTTTGATGATTTTAACTTTGTGGATTCTTTTTGCTTAAGAATATATTTTAAGATGATTTATTTACTGCAAATGATGATAGAAGTTTGATTAAATTATTGCATTATTTAATGAATCCTGCATTAGTATTTTTTTAAACTGTCTGCAAATTTAAATGGTTGAAAAGTCAATAAAATAAAAAAAGAATGATATAGATGATCCTTAAATAAATTTTTTAGAATACTGTATATAAGCAACCCTGTATCATACCTGCTGTTCGTATATATAATAATTATATTTTGAACTCAAAAGCCAAACAAATAATTCTTATATGTCACCAGACTGGAGGCAAGGATAGAAGGTTTCAAAGTAGAAAATTATTTTTCTAATATTATTGAGAATTTTTGTAATTATTGCCCATAACAATTACATTTTTTAAAGTATTTCAATTTTAGGAAACTTTCTTCCCTTATTCTTCCTTTTAAAAAAATAAATAAAACCCTGAAAAAATACTTGCCTTACTTTAAACTAGAATTTTAGTGTTTGGGGTTTTTCTCACAGCTGCCATTTTCAAGTAAGATTTCTTTTCTAAATGTTCAGTATTTTCATTTAGATGCTGGCTTTATGAATAGCAAATATAAGCCAGTAATTGAGAAGCCTTGTAGAGTTTTCCTGATTTTCAGATGTAGAAAATCACCCTTAGGTTGTTCAGAAACTATATTAGGCTGCACAAAAACCATCCAGCGTCCTTGTCAGAAAAAATCAGCTTGAGTTGCAGCTGACAGAATGCAGAGCTTGCAGTGCACCTAGTGCTGTTAAAAACATCTGAACAGCTATATAAGCCTCCTGCACGAAGAGAACGTATTTCTCCTAGGATGGCATATGGGTTAAAATTTATCGAAAAGCATGCTCTAAATCAGTATTTTCCAGAAGCTTTTTTAAAGTCATTTTTAGGGCACAAAACGAAGTACTTCTCATTAGAGCTTCAGTGGTTATCAGTAACCCATAAGCCTTGTTTTGCTGGCTGCTTACTGGTGCATTTAATAAAATAAAGATCACTCAGTGGTGCCGTGGGCAGCGTGCAAGGTGATAGCCATATTTGCTTACTGTAAATACAAGAGAAAATCACACACAAACCGGCTGTAGTTTTGACAAGTATTAAGATCCCTCTTTACATCTGTACTTCTGTACCAAAGTGCAATTAGTTTTCCTCGCACAAGGATTTCTGTTTATCTTATTCTGCTTGATTACTTGAGTATAATCGCACCGTTTGCTTCATTGCTCCTGGTAGTAAGCTCCAGTTTAAAAAGGGGAGGATGAGTGTGTGTAAATATACAGAATTCTGCTGTAAGACTCTAATTTATGCATCTGGATGACAGCGTTTTCTTAATTTTTTTCCCCTCCTTTACTCTTTCTTTCCACAAGGTTTGGTTCATGTACATCAGATTCCTCGGCTTAATAGCTTGATCTGTGATGTGTCAGACACGAAGGACCTTGCTTTTAGATTAAAACGGAAGCTGTTCACCGTTGAGGTAAGAGAAACAGTTTTGTTTCACTATTTAGAACCCAAAAGGTGGAGCTAATCCCATCTCTTATGTTTCGTTTTGTGAAATACATAAAATATGCATCAGATGTTGTAAATTAATTTCATTCTGGTTTTGCTGTGCAGAATGGTTTTATGAAATACTGTAATATGCCTTCTAATTAAAAATGTCTCATTTGCTGCACTAGATCGGTCCGTTATAAATAGTTTATTTTGGTTTAAAATGTACATAGAAAGTAGGCCACAACCTTCAGTAACAAAGTGTGACATATTTCTAAGGATGTCAGGAGCATATTTAATTAAATGTTAATGACTTGCTCTTACTTGTGTTAGTGGGTGGGAAAGTAGCTACATGTTATTACCCCAGTAGAGGGATTTTAATGTATAATGCTGCCTAAAATTGTGTGTGGTATGAGGGATAAGTGTCCTTATCAGTATTCAGAAACCATTTTCTTTGCATTACTGAAATCACCTTTCGCTCTTTTATGTCATTTTAAACACAGTATCATTTACACTAATGTCCTTAAGTAAATTTCCTACTAAATTTAAACTTTTTCCTGTGACCTTTATGCAGACAGTCCTGATAGAAGGCAGTAATACAAAAGATGTATTTCATTTTAATCTTGCTAAAGAGCAAATGAACATAGCACTATTAAGCAATTAGAGCTGATGTATTTATTAACCAAGTAATGCTTAGAGATGGAAGATGGCTTTCGGGGTGATGTGATAGTCATTGGTACAGTCTGGGCAAATTTTTTTTTAACAAAGACATAAAACAGCCAAGCATCCCTGACAAACCATTTTGTTTAATCTCTTTTCAAATGAAAAGCTCTTAAGCAGGCCACTTGTCTTAACTGCTTGAAACCATAAAAAGAGAGAATTGCCACCAATAAATTAGCATATTTTTTACTCCATCACCAAATGATGGTCAATGTGGCTTGGCACTGCTTTGGTGTTTGGGACTTCACCCTTAAGTGACCACTTTGGCCCTTATTTGACCCTCTGCCCTTTTTAGCTGGCCACTTGATAAGGTAACTTAAGGGTTCTCTCTCTTCATTGCCCCCTCCTCTTCACAATTGCAAGTAGCCCTAACCTATAAATCATTGAAAGGGCCCTATCAAGTGACAAATTAAGGTGCCCTCCTCCTAATTAATGGTCATCAATGTCTTTAATTATCTAATCCTATTGAAAGTAGTTAATAGTTAATCAGGCAGCCAGTTCTTCATGCAGGTCATCTCTGCATGAGTGCTAGAAGTTTCTCAACTAGAGGTATCCTCTTCAGAAGCCACTTAAAGGCAAATAGGTGAAGGAGGGCTTTTTTCCCAAAGGCATTCCTTTATAATGTTTCTCATTTTCCAGAGAATGCGGTTAGTGAAACCAGGCATTGTGAGGTATTAAACCATTTCAACAACTGCTTTTGAGCTGTATACTAGAAACAAAAACCTTAATAGTCTCTGTTTGGTTTTAAAATACAAATGTTCTTACTGTTTTCAGAAGTGCAGAGAAGCGTGCACCCTCATTTCACAACATGGTAAAGTCGCACTTGTTACAGCTATGAATTAGAGTATTTGGGGGTTTTTTGCTCACTATGAATCCTGACTCAAAATATAATATTTTCTGTCAGCCATATTTGGGATTCTAATTTGTAATGTAATTTGGAAGGGAGAAAAAAAAACAAACCTTAGCAGGAGGCTCTGTAAAAAGACTTGAATTAGCCATGGGGCAGAAGCATTGGAAACAGGGGTGTAGTGGAACTCTAGAAACAACCTGTTGCCCTAGACTTGCGTAGATGACCCACTTGTATAATTTCTCCCTTCATTTTCAGCTGCAGCCCCTTTTGAATAACTTCAGGTTTTGTTAGAGGTATGCTTTCTATAAGCTGAACTGACACAAACTAGCCCTTTTTGAACACGTTAGATCACTGTCCTACTGTGATCTTCCTGTACACATTTCACTAATCTATAATACATATGTCTTTCTTCCTCATACTATTAGGAGAGGCAGACTACAGATAGGCTGACTAGAGCAATGAGGTCAATAAGAAAATGGGAGCAAGGGAAAATGGAATTAAGAAGGGATGTGGATACAGTCTTCTAAAGTGGGTTTCAGCAGTTAGAATATGATGAGTCAGCAGTCACCGTTGGTTGTGGTGGTAAAAACATAAAGCAGCACAACAGTGTGCATTACAAGCAACGGTGTGCTTTATACAAAGTACAACTATGTTTATGACTTCTTTAGTATGTACTTTAAATGTGAAACGAAAATATAGGTTGAGTACAGTAGTTTTTTGAAAGCTTCTGCTTAGTTATATATACAATTTAGGGTAAAAATATTGACCTCTACTTGAAATGCCACTTTAAAATCAAATTACATGAGAAAAGTTACAAATACACAGCCTATGATTTATGCAAAATTTCTCCAAAAAGGATTTTCATCATTGCACCATTCTTTTTTTACAGTTTAAAATAAGGCCACGGGACATGGATTTTCTCATTTCTGGATTGTTCACCAGTTAAATAACTTTATGGTTTGGCCTTCATCAGTAAAAAACCTTAAATGTCAAATCCGTTTTATTAGATTGCCGTTTTGTGGGAGGGACTCCGCCTCTTTGTAGTCTGCAGAATAATTTAACTCTTTCAGTTTTTCTTGTATCTTCTTCGTCAAAATATGATTGACTGAAATGTATTCTGAAGGGTTTTTTTTAAATTCAGGATGAAAATGTTTTTAGTGAATATTTATGAGTGTTCATTTTGCATTTGTAAATTATGAGGTAGACCCTTTCCAGGAAAACATACATGTTTATGGTAAGAGGTGGGGTAGCTATATTAAGCTTTCCCAAATCTTCACGCATTATTTACTAGCAATATATTATTATAAGCAATATTATCAGAGATCTATCTTATGTGCATACCACTTTAAAGGACACAATTTTGAAGTTAGCCTGTCTAATCCTATTTCTTCCCACTTTGGAATCTTAATTAGAAGGAGATAAAAACCATCATTTGACTAAATTATTGTCTTGAATCTGTAGCAAAAGGTATAATCCGCAATTGGGCCAATTAGTGTACCCCATAGTTAGCTATGCTGAGGCAGGAAACTTGATTAGATCTGACACCAGCCTAGTTCCCACTGTTGTTTTGCCAGGTATGATGGTCAGACTTCAAAGGGCTTGAGGCATCAGCAGGGCAAGGTTTGGAGGCCAGCTTAGGTCCGGTCGTTAATCTCTCTGCTAAAACCACAGCAGCCCTCGCACAAAACAAGCTTACACGACACAATCATGCGGTATTAAAGTTTGGGTTGAGTCATGCCAATTTGCCTTTGATTTTCTGATGATTGACTAAAAGATGGCTACATGACTAGACACATACTGAAAGTTTACTGATTAGGTAAGTTCCCCAAATATTTGAAATATTTTTTGATTTCTCAGTTAAATGATATGACAACCCGTTCATCTTAATGAAACTATTCAGCAGAATTGTTCTTGAAGTACTTTTTGCTTTGTTTGTAGCTCTGAATGTAACTTTTATCAACATTTCATAATTTTTGTAGGAACATTATGTTCATTGTTTTATTTGATAGAACTTTATCTTTGTTGTTCCAAAGCCTCCTGTATCAAAACTAAAGGAATCTGTGCCTAAATTTGATTTTTTCACTCCTCGAAATTTCTAAGGAGACATTGTTTGTCTTTGTTATTTAGGTACATTTACGATTACTCACAAAAAGGAAATTTCCTCTTAATTATTTTCCACCTCACCATTGAGTAAAACGCTGTTCCACGGCTGTGATTACATAAGTGTTCCTTTCTTTTGCAGTCTGATTTGTTGAAATATTGCAGTAGCAGTGACATGTTTCCATTCTGAGAAAAGCCTAAGGCTGCTTTAGTATTATTCCAAATGATTGAAATTGCCATCTTGCTGACTTTCCCTTGGGCAGCTTAAGGCCTGTTTACTTTTGTATTTGTTTCACATGTTCCCTCTGAGTTTGGCTGGCAGGACATCATTACCTGGTTTGACAAGACAGTTGGAGAAGATTCATATTTGATTAACTCCCTTTGTTACTGTCTGGTCAACATAAACCTCTGAAATTATGTATTTAAAGTTAAAACTTTTGATAAATTCAGATAAATGTTTGCAAGTGGGAAAAAAAAGGTGTTTTTTTTAATTCCCTAGTTTTGCTTTACTGATGATTTTCTAAGTCTTCAGGTAACAGTCAATTGTTAATAGTATAGAGAATAAGCATTTTCCTACAAGTTGTGTAATATAGTTTGTCTAATAAATAGTTGCTGGGAAATTTTTTTTTTATTTTGATCAAGACACAAGTAAGACCCAGCTAATAAGATTTTCTTTTTAATGGCTATATAACACATGTGCCAGCCAGAATAAAAATCTTCATATACCGTATAAAGAATTGCCACACAGCAAAAATAAGTAAGTTTCCAGAACTTAATGTATGAGTTCAGGAGATTCTTTTCTGAGAAGTGTTTCCTAACAGGAGGAGAAGAAATCTCGAACTAGAGGAGTCCTCTGGCAGGAATGTTGCTGATTTCTCAGTGGCAGGCACATAGAGTATGGTACTATGGAGCACTCTGTGGTGCATTTTTCCTAGTGGTAATTGCCAGAATAAAAGGTTATGTCTTTGGAAGGAAGCATAATCACAAAACCCAGCAGTTGGGTCTATATAGAATTAAAAATAAATGTACGATTCCAAAGACATTAAAATAGTGTCCTTTCTTCAGCTATCAATAAAGGACTATAAAAAAATTAATGATTGTCAAAATAAGCAAGATTTAATTGCAACTCCAGATATTCACGTGTATGTATATGTCCAACATTGGTATTTGGAAGAAGACTTAAAACTCTTCTTTCAAGATGGTGAATTTGGCAATTAAAAACAGGAATTACGTCTTAGGTAGCTTTCACCTGAAATCTGCATGGGTTTTTGTTTTTTTCTTTCTTCATTCTGTCCCTTTTTATTGCTTAGTTTACACAG